TTAATGGTAAAGAAGAAGTAATAAGGACCGGACCACTAGCTGCTACTGAATCACCTAGAGGGGGCATGTCAAACATAGGAGAAAAAGAGGGCCCTACTGGCGATGGCGCCACTGAGGGACCCGCAACCGAAGGGGGAGCTACAACATACTGAGGCTGCCTCATCATGGGACGAGGATCCTGCAGTGCAGCCAAAATTCGCTTCTGGCCTGCCACTAGTTCGGCCAGCACTTCCTGTTGTACGACCTGCGTTTCTGCCACGCAGAGGAGTGAGCTACGCAGCGCCTGCATTGCAGGATCAAGTGTCGACTCGTCTAGTGCCTCTAGTTTACCTAGCTCCTGCCTCCTGGCTCCTAATCTAGCTTTCCTTGTTATCGCTCTCTGTCTTCTCTCTGCTGCATCTCTCAACTGCTGCTGTAGCTGATCGTGAAAAGCTTCAACTTGGAGGATCTCATAATCCTCCGATGTGAGTTGAGTTTGTTGGCTGACTTGCAAGCCAACAGTCTGACTAACGAAAACCCGAGAAACACTCTGACTGACTCCTGACGCAGTGGCATGGGACGAGGCCTGTGACATGCTGGAGGCGGTAGCCATCGCGGCCTCTAAGCTGGCTGCTGCTGACCTAACCCTCCTTAATGTCGCCCTCTTCCTAGCTTCCCTTCGCAGCCTCCTTTCCTCTCCTAGAGCTAACTCTTGGAAAGTGATCGGACGACTGAAAGCAGTTCTAGGTGTAACTCTAATAATCAAAAATAAAACAGTTTACCTGTGGAGATGTATGCTGGATGGCAATTTATCTCATTAATACCACAGCGAACCGTTATTGGAATCCCCCCTCTCCCTGTATCCTTCTTGAGTGGTCACTTTGTGTCAATGCCCTGAGCATCTGGTTGAGCGGCGTGTCTGAAGGTGTGCAATCCAGCCCACCCCTGTGCCCCAAGTCTATGCCGAACCTGCCAGCCCTTGCATGTTGTTTACCCTCGCATGCAACGAGCCTTACTTCCGGTTTGATCTGGCTGATCAAGAGGCAGTTTAAGGACAGTCCCCAAGGTCCTCAGGAATTATTTAATGTCGCAGACAGGACGACGATCACAGCCAGGGTTCAACACTGGAACTGCCATAAATATTTATAGACGGTCTGGTGAGCGTCTCTCAAAGGGCTGGCATGCCCTGCATGACCTCTATTGCGCAGCAGCAGAACCAAGGACTTGCGGCACAGCATGCGTGTACTAGTCCCAGCGGGTTGGCATGGTGCCCGTGACCCGAGTGCTTCGTCCAGGGCCCTTCAGAGGCTTCGCCCGTCTCCCACCAGCTTGCTGCCCAGGAAGAACGTTGACTCTCAAGGTTCAGCACTCGCGACACCTCACATTGAGAGGACTCTCAAGGCAGAACTCACTTCCTCACAGTAAGAACTAATGAAGAGGGTAAATAAGGAAGAGAGCAACATACCTCATAATGCTGCCCCCACCACAAATTTCTCACCGGCAACCTGGCATGCATTTATGATGATCGGTCTTTGCCTCAACACAACAAACTGCGAAATGTAGTTCCACCTCGGCTTAAATGCCACATCAGCGAGCTCTCATCAACCAGTGTACACCTGTTGCATACTAGTGAATACTTCACCAAATATGGGCAGAACCAAAGATCAACCAATATAGGATGAGCATGTATACAACGAAAGTCTGAGAAATGGACTGACTCACATAGACTGAACTCACCCAATCCTCACTCAACACACAAGCAATCGTGAGATGGTGGGGTCTGAAGCCATGCATAGACGATGCTTCAGGCCCCGTACAATCATACACAGATGAATGGTGGGAGGAGAGACGATGGAGGTGGGAGATAGGGACAGCGCCAGATGTCACCAAGATAGAATCTAGAAGGTCACCAATATGGTAGTTCAAAAGGTCATCGAACAAAATCAGAATGTCGGGGACATAAGTCACCAATGTCGGAGGTACAAAATCCCAATGTAACCGATGTCCGATCTGTAATGCCGCTAGGTATCAATCCCAACTATCTCCAATGTCTCGAAATCCAGTAAGTATCACAGACTCCTAGTACCGAAGTCCAACCACTGATCTCTGTGCAACTCGTATCAATAGTCTCCAGTCTGAAGAAGACGAAGAAGAAGAAGAAAAGTCTGAAGTCCGAAGAAGGAGGAGAAGAAGAAGTCTGAGGAAGAGGAAGAAGACTGAGAGGGAGGCAGAGAGTTGGGGGAGATGGCGAGTGGCCCCAGGCCTAACCTGTCTGCAGGATGGCGCCGTGGCCGATGGGGGAGCTGGACTGCGCCGCTGAGCTATGGCGCTCACAGTACTCAGGTAAGTCTCCCTCCTCGCCGCTCCTTTGTTGTAATGTGCTAAACTTAGCGCTGCAGCTTCACGAGCTGTGCTGAACCCGAAATAGCGCAGCGCAGCTGCTCCAACTGTGCCGTAGCCTCTACCTGCAGGAATGGCCGCTGGACCGGCCTAAGTACCGTCCGGCGGGCAGTCGGCCTCAATGCTGCCCTCCTGCACCGTGATCTGAATCGTCAAAAATGACGGTTCGGATCAGACCAGCGGGCGGCGGCCTCAAGAGCGCCGCCAGGCCCAAACGGTCATATTGTTTGGGCCGACTCTGGCCTGCTGCGGTCCTGGCGCCAACGGGTGGCCTTAAAAGGGCCTACTGGGAGAAAAAGGCCCGACCTTGGCTAGGCCGGCCTAGGTACCCCCAATCCGGTAGTGTCGGGCCTGTGAGGGCCCGTGTGGAAACGCAGTATGTAACACACTCCCCCCCTTAAAAGACCGAGCTACCTACGAGGGCGAAGTTGTCTGTCAGATACCTGGGTGGGTCGGGTAGGACGAACTTTGTCCTTGGCAAGTCTCCGGTTCTCGTAGTCGGAGAAGATGAGTGGTGTGGATGCCTGTAAGTCTGCGTTGGAGATCCAGCGAGTGTCATCAGGGGCACATTGCTTGAATGTGACTTGGTATTGCATTGGCTTGTTGCCAAACTTGCGATGCATGATGACACGGTCAACTTCCTGATGTCTCTCCATAGAGGGCAGATCCTGTGACCGTCTGCCCGAAAACTCATCCTCGGAAGGTGGCGTATACACGGCCAGCTTCGACGCATGAAAAACCAGGTGCACGCGGAGGTGTGGTGGGATGGCAATCACAAAGGAAGGGCCAGCAGGGTTGTCGCCTGCTGCAGAAATTACCTTCCATGGTCCAAACCATTTTGGGAGGAGTTTGCGCGAGACGTCCTGCTCCAGCGCGAATTCCTCAGTGAGGACCCAAACAAGGTCTCCCTCGCGGAAAGGACATGGGAGTCGACGTCGGTTAGCTTGCTGCTGCATGCGGATTTGAGCCTTTTGCATATTCGCTCGGGCTTTGATCAGCAAGTCCCGGTACTTCCGAACGGAAGTGGGAGAGCAAGCGACGTTGATGTCGGCGGCCCGTGGTAGCAGAAGATCGGCAAAGACGCGGGCTTTCTCTCCACCGTGATGCAACTCGAATGGAGTGATGCAGATCGCCGGGTGCACCGAAGTGTTATAGGCGAACTCGATGTCGAGAAGCCGGTCAACCCAATCTTTCTGGTCGGGACGGATGAGTGTACGCAACATCATTTGAGCGGTCTGATGCGCTTGTTCCAACTGTCCATCCATTTGCGGGTGCCATACGGAACTCGGCTTCATAGTCAAACTGGACTCCGTCATGAGGGAAGTCCAAAAGGCTGACATGAAGCGAGTGTCTCTGTCGCTCACGATGTCTTCCGGAACACCGTGGCAGGTAATCCAGCTGGTGTGCAAGAGTCGTGAGAGCTCGGGGGCTGTAGCACGGTACTTGCATGGAAGAAAACGAGCGTACTTGCTCAAACGGTCAACGACCGTGAGGATGTTGTCATTACCGAGGCGATCTCGGGGAAACGGGCCTGTAACATCCATAGCAATGGAGAGGCGCGGTGCTCGAGGGATTGACATCGGTTTCAGTTCGCCATAAGGGACCTGAGATCTACCTTTGTTACAATGGCAAACTGTGCATGACTCGATGTACCTCGTAACGTCGTGAAGAACGTGGGGCCAGTGAAAACGCTGGCGGAGGCGGGCCAATGTGCGGGTCACGCCAAGGTGTGCCGAAAGTCGTACGTCGTGGAATTTGCCGAGGAGGCGCGTCCGTAAGATGCGATCTTGGGGCACCACTAGCAAGTTCTTTCCTCTCGTGTGGAGGAGGAGGAACCCGTCAGAGATACAATAGTGACCAGCCGGCGGGTGATCCGACGAAAGCTCCGCGTAAAGCATGGAGTATGTCGGGTCAGACTTGTAGCCGTTGACGAAGTGCTGCTGCAGATCGTCGTCGAGCTGGAACGTCGTAGTCACTAGGGCACAAAAATCGGGTTGTCGTGAGAGGGCGTCTGCTGCTCGGTTGGCGGGACCGGGAATGTGGCATGGGTCAAAGTCAAACTGGTCGATGTAATACATCCATCGACCAATCGTGCTAGTGACCGTGTCCTGCGTTTTGTAGTAGGTCAACGGATTATTATCCGTGTTCCATTTAAAACGCCGACGACCGAGAAGAAAGTGGCGCCACCGTTTGAGAACGGTGACGAACGCGAGTAACTCTTTCTTCCTAGCGTCATCGAGAGGGTTGACGAGAGACACCTTTTGGGAGAAATACTCAACCGGGTGCCAACCGTCCGGGTGGTATTGTTCTAATACCGCACCAATACCGTACCCGGAAGCGTCCGTAGTCACTTGGGTGGGTAGGGTGGGGTCATAAATTCGGAGGGCCGATGCGTCTTGCATTGTCGCCTTCAACGGATTGAACGCGCCACGAGCTGCGTCGTCGAACTCGAAGGTACCTTCGGGGACTGAAGTCTCGACAAAGGGGCTGCCACTTTGGAGTAAGACTCAATGAAGCACTGATAGAATCCAGCCAAACCCATGAAAGAGCGTACGTCCGTCGTGCAACGGGGTTCCGACCAATCCACAATGGCTTGGATCTCGTCCGCTAAGGGATGAATGTCTTTCGGCATTACGTAATGGCCTAAGTACTCAAGCTCTCATTTGGCGAATTCGCACTTGTCGCGATTTGCTTTGTACTTGGCTGCTCGCAAATAATCCAACACCGCACGAAGGTGTACGAGGTGCTCGTCAAGCGTCCTACTATAGACCAAGATATCATCGAGGTAGATGAGGACGGTACAATTGAGCAAGTCTCGGAACTCCGTTGTCATGGCTGCTTGGAAGGTTGTCGGGGCATTGGTGAGTCCAAATGGCATCACGACCCACTCAAAATGCCCATACCGCGTTTTGAAGGTGGTCTTGTACCGGTCTTGAGGCCGGATTTCGATGTGGTGGTAACCCGACTTCAAGTCCAACTTCGAGAAGTACGTCGTGCCGCCCAACCGCTCCAAGAGATCATCTATCCGAGGGAGAGGGCCGGCGTTCTTTACGGTTTGTGCGTTAAGTTTTCGATAATCGATGCACAACCGTAGGTCCTTGTTCTTCTTCCGGGCGAAGAGAACAGGTGCACCGTATGGCGAACAACTAGGGCGAATCCAGCCTTTGTCGAGAAGGTCGTCGAGTTGTGCGCGAAGCACCTCGAGTTTCTCTTCGCTCATGCGGTAGATGCATCCACGCGGAGGGACGGCGCCAGCCTCGAGATTAATCCCATGACTTATGGGCCGATCTGGAACCGTTCCTGTGGGAGCCTCGAAGACGTCTACATATCCATCTAAGAGGTGAGTAATGTGTGGGTACGACGGTGACGCGGCTGGTCTGTCCGTCGAGGGGAGGGCATGTAGGAAAACAACTTCCATCTCCTCTACGTCATTCCGAGCTATGGTGTCGCGAATCCTCGCGACGGAAACCACGTGACAAGCAATCGAAGTGTGAGGAGTCGCGACCGTACACGGGACTAACACTCCGTTCCGATCACGGATGTGAACGGTTCGGTCATGAAAGTTTACCGGATGATCGGCGCTACACAACCAAGACATGCCTAGAATCATGTCGAACTTAGTGTCGAGGATGTCAAAAGACACCAGCTCGCACGCAAGGGGCGCAAAGTACACCGGAACGCCGTCAACGCATCGGTCGATTGACTTTCGCGTGCGGCCGTCCGCAAGTGTGACTTGCGTTGGTTGCGTCTTCCTTCGAACGCGGGGACCGAGGCCTGCGCGTGCCATAAAGGCTTGGCTCATAAAGTTGTGAGACGCTCCGCAATCGATCAAGGCACTGCAGGTGGCCTTTCCGATTTGAATGCGGATATAGAGCAAAGGAGCGTCGGTCTCAACATACCTTCGGGTGGCGTACCGCGGTCAATCTTCGCAAGATAGGAGTGGAGATCGACAACCGCTACTCTGTCGTCCGTCAACGGAGCTGGTACTGCAGCATGCAAGTAGGAGGGCAAATTTGCCATCAAGGCGTTACAATGCGGCTTTGGCAAGGATCCGGTCGAGGGTAGAGGCATCCAAAAGAAGTCCTCTCTCATGAGCGGGTCGAGGTCCTCAAGCCTTGACCACGCCGTCGAGTCCTCGGAAATAAGTGGCGAACTAACCGGTTCTCTTGCCGACGGTGTACAAGCTACACATACGCTTTCTAAGTGCACGTGGCGAGGCTGGTCCAATGGTGGCACCAACTGGGCGGCATAATCCTCGTATGTATCACGAGAATCAGCGACTGACGCATGCTCCCCGGCAGTGATATCGGTTGCTAGCAAGGGAACCGGTGCCAGCGGAGTGTGGAGAGGCGTTGCCCCTCTCCGTGCGCAACTCAGTTTTCCGAGTTAGCTGGACGGGGTACCTTTGCCTTGCCCTTGTCTGGGCATTGTGCCGTAGTGTGGTTTACACTATTGCACCAAAAACAATACCCATACCGTTGTCGAAGTTCGAATACTTCCTTGGTGATGTTGTACGTCGTGCATGGTTGCTGCCCAGTCTCCGTCGCTGTCGTCCCTTGTGCTGCCTTGTTCTTCCGAACCCTTTTTGGATGTTTCGGGGGGAGCGCTGCGACAACTCCTCCATCACTTGAGGAGGCTGCTGCAGCGTGGAGATCAGGTGATCCGTCAGTGATCACCGCATTGTTATGAGCCAACCATTGGTAGCCTTGCTTAGCCACATATTGCGGCTGGGAATGCCTTTCGTTGGCGGCCTTGTCATCCGTTTGGATGACCAGATTAGCACGGTCCAGAATGCCCTGAAATGAGGCATAGTCGTACTCATTACCGAATGTCGACCGCAGTCCTGCGCAGGATCGCGAAAAGAATTCGGATCGCAGGTTTGGAAAACTTAAGTCGAACCCTGGAGTGGTTACTATCTTCTGCCACTTAATCGTCCAGTCTCTTGTTGACATGTTCCCTTGCGAGCTGGAGTAGACCTCGTTCATAGCCGCTTTCACTACATTCCGGACCATGAACCAAGTGTGCCACATTTGCTCGAGCTGCTCCCACGTGATGTGCTTGTGCAGGTCGGTAATGGTGGTTCCCAGATTGGTCGCCAGATGGTTCATGAATGCCTGTGCTCCTCCAATAAGTTGGAGGTAGACTGCTGTCATCATCAGGTAATCTGGTATGTGGTGGCGGACTGCTTCGGTGATGAAGGAATGCCACCATGCCAAAGTGTCTGTCTTGTTGTAATCATCAAACTTCCCGATGTTGAAGCGTGGCATCTTGTACGTTTTCGAGGCGGCGTCTGGTCGTGCCTGCAGTTTGGTGATGTCCGTCTTGATGGCGCCCACCGTGCTGCTGATCGATGCCGGACTGGTAAAGTCACCCAGGTCGCCGATGATGGTGATGACATGGTCAATGCGCTCGCCGAGCTGCTTCACTATGTCTGTCGTGCAGCCTGGTGCTGCTGAGGGCTTAGCCTCGATGCTGTTGACGCGTGTGATAGTGGATACCAACAGTTGTTGCTGTTGTTGCTGATGTTGTGTTGCTGCGTGGATGGCGGCTGTCCAAGTTGCAGATTCTCTCTGCTGGGTCTGTCTCAGCTGCCGTCCCGTTTGCGGGTACGCAATCTGCATCGTATTGTTCCACATTACCGCCCTCATCATACCCAACATCAAGTTAGTCAAGTTGCTCCTTTCTGCCTCCACCTGTGTCGGATCCGCCTGCTCGTCCGTAGGCACAAAGATCATGCCTTGGAGTAGTGTTGTCCATTGACTCTCATTCTGAATCAGAGACTCAGTGCTGGCAGCATTCCGCTTGTCTCGAGTCGTTGCGTCAGCCTCAGCAGTCCGCTGAGCTTGGGCTGCCGCTTCTTGGGCAAGCCACTGACGTTCTGCTTCTGCTGCCTCTTGCTGTGCCTTTGCTGTGGCTACGGCATCCGTGAATGCCTGCACCTGCTGAAGGTAAGCTGCCAAAGTCTTGTGGTCCCCTTGGACCGGACAGGCGGGAAGGATCCCTGCGGTGACCGGTACTGCATTGGTACTGGATGCCGCTGGAGTTGCTCGCCTGCTGAGACGTTGTTGCTGATACTTCGGCCGTGGAGGTAACACAGAGTGGCTACGAACCGCGAGCCTGGCACTGCGCCGTGGCAGTGCCCCGGTTCTCTATTCCGTTGACATCAGCACTGCTGATGTGGTACTTGGAGACCTAGGTGGTCGCAGAGGACGGGGAGGGTAGGGAGGGTGGGAACAGGGGTAGAACAGAACAAACGCAATCAACATACAGTACCCTGTCCCAATGTGGACTGGACTCCTAATCAAAGAGAAAAGAAAAAAAAGTGAACTTCCTTCCCCCCCCCCCCGAACAATTTAATTATGAAAATGATACCTAGATAATAAGGAATAATGAATAATAATTAATCATCAATCAATAAAAGTTAATAATTATCAATGACGAATTTTAAATTGTCGGTAGGTTAGGTGTCCGTTGAGATCACCTATGGTCCGGGAGTTCACCGTTGTTAGTGAACTTGCCGGAAGTTGCAGTTCTGGGGAACAATTCCAGACAGTCTGCGAACTGAATTTTTTTTTCGGACAATTAGGAACAGGAAAAACACTCGAATTTTCGAAAAAAACGTGAAATTTCAGCCTAAAATCGTCCGATTTTCAGCAAGCCGTAGTCCACATTCGGAATTTCAACAATTAGGAAAAAATAAAACTTTCGCGAAAATTTCGGACCTCAACCCTAATTTTCCGCGATTTCGCGGAATTTCTGGTTAGCGGTTCCAGAACAACGTGAATTTTCCCCCAATGTGAGAAACAGAAAAAAAAATTATCGCAACCCTAATTCAATAGAATCAATATCGAATTAAAACAGAGTACCAAAAAAAAAAAAAAAAGAGAATTTTGCAACTTGAATTTCGATAGTAATGCCGAACTAATTCAGGAAAGACAATGCTAATTAAGCGATTGATTCCCTAATCAGAATTACCTTGTGAGCAGATCCACTTAATTGGTCTGCTCCGATACCAAACTGTTGCATGCTAGTGAATACTTCACCAAGTATTGGCAGAACCAAAGATCAACCAATATAGGATGAGCATGTATACAACGGAAGTCTGAGAAATGGACTGACTCACATAGACCGAACTCACCCAATCCTCACTCAATACACAAGCAATCGTGAGATGGTGGGGTCTGAAGCCATGCATAGACGATGCTTCAGGCCCTGTACAATCATACACAGATGAATGGTGGGAGGAGAGACGATGGAGGTGGGAGATAGGGACAGCGCCAAATGTCACCGAGATAGAATCCAGAAGGTCACCGATATGGTAGTTCAAAATGTCATCGAACAGAATCAGAATGTCGGGGACATAAGTCACCAATGTCGGAGGTACAAAATCCCAATGTAACCAATGTCCGATCTGTAATGCCGCTAGGTATCAATCCCAACTATCTCCAATGTCTCGAAATCCGGTAAGTATCACAGCCTCCTAGTACCGAAGTCCAACCACTGATCTCTGTGCAACTCGTATCAATAGTCTCCAGTCTGAAGAAGACGACGAAGAAGAAGAAAAGTCTGAAGTCCGAAGGAGGAGAAAAAGAAGTCTGAGGAAGAGGAAGAAGACTGAGAGGGAGGCAGAGAGTTAGGGGAGATGGCGAGTGGCCCCAGGCCTAACCTGTCTGCAGGATGGCGCCGTGGCCGATCCGGGAGCTGGACTGTGCCGCTGAGCTATGGCGCTCACGGTACTCAGGTAAGTCTCCCTCCTCGCCGCTCCTCTGTTGTAATGCGCTAAACTTAGCGCTGCAGCTTCACGCGCTGTGCTGAACCCGAAATAGCGCAGCGCAGCTGCTCCAATTGTGCCGTAGCCTCTACCTGCAGGAATGGCCGCTGGACCGGCCTAAGTACCGTCTGGCGGCCAGTCGGCCTCAGTGCTGCACTCCTGCGCCGTGATCTGAATCGTCAAAAATGATGGTTCGGATCAGACCGGCGGGCGGCGGCCTCAAGAGCGCCGCCAGGCCCAAACGGTCATATTGTTTGGGCCGACTCTGGCCTGCTGCGGTCCTGGCGCCAACTGGTGGCCTCAAAAGGGCCTACTGGGAGAAAAAGGCCCGGCCTTGGCTGGGCCGGCCTAGGTACCCCCAATCCGGTAGTGTCGGGCCTGTGAGGCCTCGTGTGGAAACGCAGTATGTAACAACACCCCTAATGTCACCACATAGCTTCCTGGCACGCCCACACGACCCTGGGCCGCCAATCGCTCCACGCCCAAGCCTTATCACTGCCCCACACCTCATGTGAAGCACCGAACAGCTATTGCGAAGAACCAATGAAGCGCAGTTCGAACCAACTCTGATACCAAATTGCAAGGAAAATGAGCAATAGCGAGATGACAATACCAGAATGCACCGTCACATTGGAAGCCAGAAAGTATCACAGTGTCCAGAAAGCAGCATTGCACCAATATGACACCAATGGAGAATCGTAACACTGAAAACCAATGTCAATGAGAGCTTGCTCTCGCCACCACCAACACAAGAATCCAGGACCTTCTCCGTACTTGGCACTTGGCGCCCAGCCTACTTCCTACACAGCTACTATCTGTCTACTAATTGGCAATGCAACCATTGACGTCAGCAGCCCACAAAGTACTTGAAGATGTCGCACAATAGACTGCCCTTGGACTGCTTACTACCTGACAACCAGCCCTTTGCTGCACCAGGGACCTTAGAGTTTGCTTATCGATATGAGCAGCTGATGCAGCAGGCTGTTGAACAGATGCACAAGGCACAGACGGCGATGATAGAGTCTGAGAACAAACACCGTCGCCCATCCACATTTCAGGTAGGAGAGAGAGTCTGGGTTAAGTCCTCAGAACTGGGACAGGAACACGGGATCTCCCGCAAGCTCATGCCGCAGTACTTTGGACCATGGGTGTTACGAGTGGGAGGCTGAGGGAGACAGGGAAAGCCGAGGGAGAGGAGAGAGGGAGAGAGTGAGAGCACACACACACACTCACTCACTCGACACGACTGAGGGTCGGACGCAGACACACGGGCAAGGACACAAAGTCGAAGTCTTGGATTCCCAATGCCGAACAGGAGCAAGTCACACTGAGTACGAGTACAGCAGCAGAAAACTGGTACGAGACTGGTCCCCGTACCGTACGGGGAGCCGGTATAAGTACCGGTGACACGTACGGTACCAGGGGCATTTCTGCAAAGGCCCCGAGGGCAGAACTGAAAAATGCAGTATTTGAAAGTGGCGCTCGAATTGCAGCATGGCGCCAGTTGTCCAAAATCCTACGGTACCAAAGGAGGAGTTTGGAAAAAGGGTGCCAGGCCGGAAAAAGGGTGCCAGGCCGAAAACGGGATGCAGCCGAAACAGCAAAAGATAGACCAGGGATCGAGCCCTGGCGAAGTCCGTAACAATGGGAGATCCTAGATGTTGTCGGGGATGAACCGGATGGGCCGTCTTATATTATTCGCATCCCTGGTCACTTACGCACTTACCCTGTTTTCCACGCTTCCAATCTTGCACCTTTCAAAGAAACAGATCAATTTCCCTCTCGTCGCTGGCCCCAACCATGGATGGAGAGGTCGACATCGATGACATTGTTGACCACAGGGAAATGCCAGTTCCAAGACCTGCAGGCAGGGGACATCCTCTGAAACCGAAGCTGCAGTACAGAGTTCGGTCAGACATCACACTGATCCAAAGGAGGATCGATGGTTCACCAGGGAGGAACTGATGCAAACCGCTCCTCAGGTTGTCACCCAATATGAAAAGTCTCTGCAGAAGGGAAAGCGTCAGATCATTGAAGACTGAACTTCTCAGAGGACTATCGAAGTATGGAGGAGGGAATGCGAGGCACAGGCCCTCAATTTTCTCTACAGGGCCTACTTTTCACTCAGTCGGCCGCCCTAAGTGAAGGCAGGCACGACCGAGGCCCTCAGGCCATTTTGGGGTCACTACGCAACTGGGGAAATTTCAGGCAGTTGCGCAGCGCCAGTTGGTTGGAAGCGCCCAGGCCCAGGCTGTCTTGCATTGCATGTAACTGAGGCAGGCCCTGGGCCAGATACACGAAGTGGACCGAACAAAGGCTGGGGGCAGTTGGGTGCTGGTAACCACCACAGGCCCTGGGCCTGTTGACTTCGGACTGAGGCTCAGCCTCCCTGGGCCTACCGGAAGCTTCTGGGCTGGGGCCCAGTACCGCAGCACGGCATGCAGCAGCAGGCCACTTCGATATAGGGAAGGGCCTGCCTACGGATTGGACATTCGGGCACTGGCTGCTTTGTGCGCAAGCTCTGCTGCGTTATTGCGAGCCAGGCTCACGCGCTCACGGGCGAGCTGGAAGGAGCAGGCAGCCATAGCCGAACTGCGCTGCTGTATGCTAGATGGGGCGGATGGTGGTCCTTGGGTGCAAGTGGCATCTGTGAGTTGGGGAACGAGGTTGTGAGTGATACGAGAGACATACCTGGTGCTTGACGCGTGCGGCATTGGCCGAGTTCTGCTCGTACTTGGGAAGCTGTTGACGTCATCAGCGGCATTGTAGCCTAGGCTAGATAGGATCTCCCATCGCCCTCACATCATCATCATCATCATCCTTCTCTCTCTCCGTCAACTTACACCCACGTCTTCCCTCTGTACATCCGAAGGCCTCCCCTGCGCCTCACTGTATGTCCAAGCCCGCAGCCAGCTATGGTGGCTGGGCTATGGCGCTGCCCTCAGCAGCACCCTGCTTCTCCACACGACCGCACGTGCGCAGCACCTTGCTCCAGCGCTAGCAGCCAGCATGCGAGCAATTGCTCCAGCAGCGCTGCCGCCAGACAGCAAGTGCCTGAATGAGCCTCCAGGCAGCGAGCTCTATCCTATATGGAAAGAGTCTGCCTGCCCCGGCGGCCTGGCTGGGCTGGGCCTCTGCCCAGAAGCTTCCGGTAGGCCCCAGGAGGCTGTGCCTCGGTTGCAGCAGCTGGGCCTCGATCGGTTGGGCCTCCCATCTGTCTGTGTATGAAGCTGCGATTCTGGCCCAGGGCCTGCATTCCAGAAAAGGCCTGGAGGCCGTGGAATATCTTTGCTGCTTGGCCTGTGTTTCCCTCAACCAACTGGCGCGTCACAACTGCCTGGACCCCAAATACGAAATCGGCCGCAATGGGCCTCTCGAGATTTGTTAGGCCCGCCTTCACTTAGGGCGGGCACATCTGTATCAGGGGCCCCTTAGGACTGTCGAGGACCAAGATCTTCGCACCATGCTCTGAAAAAAAAAAAAAAAAAAAAACCTTCTCGGTATCGTTCCGTTGTAAGTTTGTATATAGAATAATACATACATACAATAATACGAAGTTACGAGTGTGAGGCTACAGGCCACGGCGGTGCCGTAAGCTTTTCCATGGGCGGCGGTCCCTAAGCGACGGCCGCACCTGTAAAAGAAGATGGGCCGTGAGTTGGAGTCCAGCCCAGATAACTACCCCGTAGAGGCTGATGGGGTACCACCCAGGTAAACCACATGGGTTGGTTGAAAATTGGGACCCAGACCCAGGCCGGTGGGCTGATAGAGACTGACTACCGACGCCCACAACCCACCCTCAGAGAAGACAAAAGAGAGGAGGCGGGGAAGCTGATGGAATGCAGGAAGCAGTAGTGTGCAGCAGCATTGGAGCAGCGTGCAGAAAGTGAGCACCTGTGAAGAGGAAGGCAGCAGAGCAGTGGCTGGCACTGGCTGTGCCTGCCATAGCTAGGGCAGGGCAGAACTGGGAGAGGGTGAGGAGTGTATGGGGAGACCACGGAAGGAGGAGTGCAGTGGGACTGGCAGATAACCTGGTGTTGGTGAGGGCAGAGCGGAGAGAGAGTGAGCGAGGTGGCAGGCTAGCTTCAGTAGGTGGAGTATGAGAGTAGTCTAGGCGGACACATCATAGTCCGGCTACTACATTGTTGTTGTATTGGCTGTTGGAGGTGTGCAGAAGGCTTTCATTATCAAGGGACCTCTGTGTTCAGTGTGTTCTTGATTTCGTATGATCTCTGCTTTATCATTCTGATGATTGGTCTTCTGTGAGGATGAGAATCCGAAAATTGTTGCACAGAAGTTTTGACTCCTATTGGATGGTCCCTTGCACCAGTATCGAGTATCAGCTGGGAAACAGACCCAGCACCCCCTTGCATACATCTCGTACTTGGGTGACGATTAGTACCTCACTGTCCAAGTAAACCAGCATTGATAGCCCAGCCTGCTCAGGGGAGGGGACTGACGGTCTGCCTCCGCCTAAGGCCAGAGGGCTTGCCTGTTGTCCCAGA